ATATATATAACTTCCTCAATATCTCCGTTTAAAAACGCGGTACAGACATCAAGGTGGTCAATGTTCCAATCATGCTTAGCAGCTAGAGCAAATAACAAACGCATTGATGAGTGTTTCACTGTGGGAGTGAAAGTTTCAAAATAGTCTATTCCCTTGGTTTGGCTACAACCTTTTGCCACTAAACGTGCTCTGTGACATGCAATATTTCCTTCAGCATCTCGTTCAATTTTGAAGACCCATTTTGACTTCACTACTGGCTTCTTCGACGGTCTGTGTACTATTGTCCATGCTTCGTTTTTTTGAGAAGCTTCTAGCTCCTGTTAAATAGCTTCTTCCCATTTAGATTTGTCGGAGCTTGATAGTGCCTCTTCATATGTGACTGGTTCTGACTCACCCTCTTTATGCATGGCTAAGTAGGTAATAAATTCTGGAAATTCTTTCTGTTTCCTGTTCCGAAGTGGATATCGTCTTTCTTCCAAATTTTCTGGTAATTGTTCTAAGCCATTCGGCTCTAATAGAACTTCTTTTCCTTCATTTTCTACTTGTGTTTGTTCTTCTTCGGGGTTTTGTTCTTGCAGAATCAGTATTTCATCTTGTGGGTTGAGGTAGAAACTTGACAACTCTGGAAGCATCTCTAAGCTGAAATCCTTTCTCACTCTCTTTCTTGTTTATGATTTCTTCTTCCAGAAATTCTGCATCTCTTGCCTTAACTATTTGAGATGGCTTGAGGGGATCTGATAACTGATAAGCTTTAATAATGTCACTGTATCCCACAAAAATGTATTTCTTGGTTACAGTATCCAATTTTTGGCATTTCTCTGATGGTACATGAGCATAAACTGGACATCCAAATATTTTTATGTGGGAGAGATCAATCTTTTCTCCTGTCCATATTTCTTTAGGCAATTGGTTCTTTAGTTTCTTGTGAGGTGATCTGTTCAAAAGATATACTGTTGTTTGTGCTGCTTCGGCCCAGAATCTTTTGTTGCAGCGAGAATCGTACAACATCAGTCTTGCTTTTTTCCAGAATACTGCGATTAGCTCATTCGGCAGTTCCATTTTGTTGTGGATTATACAGCACAGAGAATTCCTTTTAATTCCCTTTTGTTTTAACATGTCATTGAATAATTTGGTGCAAAATTCACCACCATTATTGGAATGAATAGCTCTTATAGTCAATCCAGTTTCTGTCTCAACCATTTTCATAAATTCTTTAAAAGCTTCATATGTGTCACCTTTTTGTTTCAAGAAACGAATGAAGAATTTTCTACTATGATCATCCACAATAGTCAAAAAATATTTAGCATTATTGTTCATTTATTTATCTTGGGAGTCCAGATTTCTGACAGCATTTTCTGAAATTTTGATTAAGTACAGGGAAAACTTTTTTAAATGGTTCAGATTTAATTCTTATAGTTTCATAGTTCTGTTCTGTGAGCGAAACATTTATCATGTTTCTGCCCTTAAGTGGACTCCAGTATTCAAGGCATCACTGAACCAAAAGCCATGGAAATTTTAACCCGTTGCCGTGGTTCGACGTGTATGTTTCGTCAGGGATTTAAATCGTCTGGGGGGGTTCGACGTGTATGTTTCGTCCAGCTGCACACGTATGTTATAACGCCCATAATAATTGATGGTTTTGCTGTAGATTGTTAGATTTTTCACTGGCCTGTTGTCAGGAGGACTGTATTTAATGACACACGCGTTTAAGAGCGCTAAGTCGTCGTTACATATGCCTGTCTTGCAGCAACGTTCCTGTGGCTATTGCGAGCTGTTTCTGTTATGAATGATGTGTTTACTTTGCTCTGAAGCTATAAACACCAGAGACTGATATGTGCTGGTGTTTATAATATCATATTGCCCTGAGCTGGCTATTCAATTGGAATTCTTAGAAGAGGGATGTACAAAAGTTTATGCCTGCAAAATCGATTGCTTTCGCACAGTA